TACTAATGCTTTGCCTAATAGTCAGACAAAATTTACTCCTGAAGGTTTTTGAAATAGTCGGGAGAGGTTTATATATTCCCGACTCTTTTATTATATAGTTAGACAAAATTTGTTCTTGATTTTTTTTAATTACCACTCCCGACTATTTTTAGAAAAAAGTCGAATAGTGGACTTTACATCAATATTTTAATAAATTGTTGTGCACTATTGTTTTTATTTTTTTTTAAATATTACAATTCTCGAAAGTTTTCGAAATAGTCGGGACATATTAATATTCCCGACCATTTTAAAATAGCATCAGTAATGTTTTTATTAAAAATTACAACTCCCGACTCTTTTGAGAAAGAATCAGAAAAAATGGACTTTTCCAATAATTGTCTGGCAATATTGTTTTATTTTTTTAAATATTCTAAATAGACGGGAGAAAAGTGAATCTAGCCTATTTATAAAAGTATCTTTTTGTTTTTAAATTAAAAAGTTTTTAAAAATTTTGTCTTTTTTAAATAATTATAATTACAAAACTAAAACTTTTTACCATTTTTTTAAATGAACAATCGGGAAATGACCAATCCCTAATCCCTTTTTCTTTTCCCTCCTAGTCTCCTTCTCTTTCAAAGCCGTCAAGGCGAATCGTCTGTCGTCCGTCACTTTCGGAAACTGTCCGCTGCCGTCGCACTTTCGTCCGTCGTCCACCGCCATCGCTCCGTCGTACTGCCCATTTCTCACGCTCTTTCCTTCACTTGCTTCTTCCTTCCTAGGTATTGTCTCAAATTGTTTTGTTCTTAGTTTGGTCTGTTTCTGCTCTACAATTTACGCCCAACTTGCCTCTACTGCCGTCGATGAAACTATGTTGTTTCTGCTCTACAATCGTTTTCTTTTTTGTTCTTTGCTTGTTTACCTTATTAATGAAACTATGTTATTTTGTTTTTACTTCATGATAGGTTTTAGTTTATGAAACTTGTGTATATTCAAGGTAGCTATTTCGGACCCAGTTTTCGATTTCATACTTCCCCTTTTTTTGAAATTCCAAGTTAGGGCTTTGATTTTGCACGATGATCCATTAGAGCGTACGAGATCAATTTTCAGTGTTGTTTCTTTGAGATCTTTTTTTTCTTGGTTTCTATTTATTTGTAAGTTAATTTTAACGTGTTCTGTTGTGGAGGGCCATCATTCATTATTGTGATTAAGCTATTTAGTTAATTGGTTATGGCTAATTGTGAAAAAGCATTGCTTAAATCATTTATTTAATGTCGAGGCCCATTGAAATTGGTTGCAATTACATGTATCACATTGAGTAACTTGTCCACTCATTCTTCTACCTCTCTTATTCTTTCACTCATTTATTGTGTTAAGTCTAGAAATGACTCCTGTAACTTGAATATTTGTTATGAATTTTTCTTCTTCTTTTTTATAGTAGCACTTGGTTATAGAGTTAACTATGTCTTTTTTATGGTAGCACTAAATCATTATAAGCTATAACATTCATCAACTGCTTTAAATATGGAGACTTAACTATGTCTTGGCCCACGAATCTAGCTTAACTAACCATGTTAAGTATTTCTAGAATTTGGCTTACCAATTATGTTAAAAGTTCCAACTTCTAGAAATGATTTCTGTATTTGTACTAGGTTAATAGTTTCATCTTCTTATGTTGGGAGTCATACAGGACATGYCTTTCTTTTTTCGTCTCTTTTTCTTTATTTGTTTGGTGGTTTGTTTTCACTTTTCTATCTCTCATTGATGGAAAGTTCGTTTCTTATTGAAAAAAGAAAGGTAGGGTTGCAGATGTTTGTTAGTGTTGTTATTAATATAGCTTAATCACAATAATGAATGATGGCCCTCCACAACATAACACGTTAAAATGAACTTACAAATAAATAGAAACCACAACAGATCTGTTGTTTCTTTGAGGGGTTTTAGTTGGTGTAGCTGGTTTGATCCGATTCTTGTATAGAAATTTGAAAAATATTATCGAACTATTTGGCCTAAGGATATTTTTGGCAGTCCATAGTCTTTTTGTTTTTTTATCGGTTTGCCACCACTGCTAAAACCTTTGCCTATTTCCTAGTTATTCTTGCTTATTGCCTTGTTATTTTTTCCATGTTAGTTTAGTTTAATTATACCTCATGAGAGTTGTCTAATTTTTAGACTAGCCAAGTTAAATAGTCTATTTAGATCTTTGCTAGCCTCCATATCTTTGCAAGTTTGTTTGTTTCTAGGAAACTTCACCTTTTAATGACCATTATACGTCATAGTAGTTTCTTTATTGGGATGGTTCTCCTTACGATACCTTTCATTGGATGATCTCCTGCTCTTGCAGTTTGATGACAAGTTTAATCATACTGTCCATATTTGATGTACTTTGAATAAACCTTAAAAGTAGTCTCAACCAGTAGTTTCTATTTCTTTCCAAATATCATCAATAAATCGTTTATGTCATCAGTTAATAAGTTGCCTCATATCAGGACAATGGACAAATCATGGATGAAAAAAAAAATAGATTGTCTGAGGATTATGAGTTAGGAGTCGAGTCATTCATCGACTTTGGGTTCCATCATGCAAATGGGTGTCATCTTTGCTGTTACAACTGTAGGATGATCTCATGATAACTCAAGACTTGAAAGAAGAGAATATGGACAAAGATGGGGATTTGTTATCTATCGCGCTAGGTAGTCAGGATCGGCCCAGACATGTTAGAGCAATAGGTTGGTGTATAACAAATCTGTCTAAAGAAAACCGCGTGCAAGTATTGACTAAAAGACTATCGGAATTGGAGTTGAACCAACTGCTGATGTTTTCATATCATTCCGGGTAAGTTTTTGTATTCGCCATAGATAAATATTTCGTATGTGCTAATAAGTATGTATTAACTTATAAGTTTACTGCATGCATACTATTTAGTATTGAATATTACTCAACGTATGTAAAGAGAAAATATCTTATATGAGTCAATTGTTGTAGGGCTAAGAAATATACAAGAAAAACCCTTTGCTCTGAAGCATGTAACGGTAAAGCATTTAGCTATTTCAAATATTTGTCTAGATTTATATATAACTTTCTCATTGCAGTGTATTATTTATATGTTGTATTCACAGAGCCCAAGACAATTGAATGCAGTAGAATGCAGATACTATGTCATGCGGTTGATGTGTGACATAGTCTACGCTCGTAATACAACAATCTCAGACTGCGTACGTATATAGAATAGTGTGTATTTTCGAAAATGTAATAATATTCTCACGATGCATTGCTTTGACTTTGATATAAATATGTATAAATGAAAGGAGCACCGCAGTGTTACACACAAGAACAATTGGATGTGATTAGGAGTGAGTTGGCAGAGTTCATACTCTCGCACATATACTTTCCACAGTATATGTGATATGTTGTTTTTTGGATTCCCCGCTCACATAATCTTGCGTTTTGTTGTCCGCTGCATATTGGAGATTGAAAATTTTTGTTGCTTGAAAGATTGATCGAACTCTTTTGGGCAATACCCTTGGCATGAACCATATATACTGTAATGAGAAATTGAGGTATGGTACTCTTATCTCTGTTCATGCCTTATGTTATTGACTATATTCTTGAACTGAAACATATCCTATGATCTTGAGAAGCATGTTGATCGGAGTAGAATTACTCGTTGTAGACTTTATATCCATTTCATATATTGTGTCTATCACCACTCTATAAAATTAGTCATGCATTATGTTTGTTATATCTTCTCAAGGAATGGAGAATGTAATACAATTAATGTGGTCATACCTAGTTCGAACTAGTGTTTCTCGTACATGTTAAACTGAAAGGATGGTACTTCGTCAGAAATTTGTTGTTATTCTTTATCTAAGTATATCTTATGATCCATGAATAGCATGCTCGTTAGATTGAACGAGTTCATCTTGATATTGTACTTTATCCAAAACACCACCATGCCCACCCACCCTACAAAAAAAGAGAGTATTCATTCTGCACAAACTAATGTACGAAGTTAGATTTGTGTTTTCTTAATTGTTTGTTTTGGATATGTTGTTCAACATGTGGGAGCGAGGGTTGAAGGAAGCAGGAGCGAGACTTTTTATAATACGTTTGCGCTATTTTGTAATTTTACCTTTCACGTTTACACGGTATGAGCTCTAACACATAATAGTAATATGTTAGATACATTTGTTGTAGTTTGACCTTTCAGAGATACTATTGTCAAATATTTRAAGTTTGTTTTAATTGCTTAGGTCTTTCAAGAAGAGCCTGGAGAACCATGACAGGTACTACTTGGATTACTTGGAATATTGACTGTTGGGTCATTTTTTGTTCGGTTAGCAGTTACTTGGTATGTAGATTGTTTATGTACGGGGTTGATGGACATAAAAACACCTCGTTGATATATATATAATTTGTTATATGTATACACTTTATATTTGCAAGTGGATTGGTGTGCTAATGCATATATTTGTGTATGTAAAATACGTCACAATTGACAGGTACTGGGTACAACTATGCAAAGCGATTTTTAAAAACATTTCAAAACAGGTTTATGTGATTCATAAATTTCAACAATATAGGTTTCGTGACAATAAAAAAACATTCAAAACTGTTTCGTGACAATTAAAAAATGTCATTGAAGGCCTTCTATTGATATTTTGAAACACGATAGTTGACATTAAGTGTACCATGATAGTTTAAAATTGTCGTTATAAACTTCTTCATGACATTTTTTGCGATCATAAATTATTGTCATTACTAAACATAAACATGATAGTTAAAACTGACAATATTGACCGTTAAAATTATCACTATAAAAGTTCTCATGACAGTTATAAATAGTCGTTGTTAAGTTTCTCTTCGTTAAAAAAAAAAATTCAATCTTGAACTGTGACATTTATTTAATTGTAAATGCATTGATGACAATATTTCAAATTTGTCATCTCCTCTTTCTTGATGTCTTAGTAGATGACACAAAAAAAAAAAAAAATTATCAAATGACAGTTTTTAACTGTCACCGAAGCCCGAATTTCTACTCATAATCCAATATTTTCCAAGAATTTGTTAGGATTAATAGGAGGAGTCGAATGTCTGAGACTCCGATACAATGTAAAGGTAAATGCCACATGTATTGTAACCGATTCACAAAATCTCATATCTTTATCATGCAAGATCTCAGGTAAATAACAAATACGGTTTGGACACACTTAACAAAGACAACATTGGTTCCTCGTGAACAACGCTTTTATTTGCTGCTTGTTTAAGATGATTGTATTGCTTCCATCAACATCTTGTCAATCTTTTCCACATCTTGGTTGTATACTAATTGGAGTCCACAACATCGTACAGTCAAGTCTGGGGTATCAGCTTCGATAATTGCCCAAATATGAGACTTGTGGCGAAAAATGTTACCATATGTATTTTTTGGGCTGTAATAGAGCCAAACAAACTGTCGTTCATGAAGCCAAATGAATGTGTCCTCGGTGATAGTATGAATGTGGAATGGCTCGATTAATCCATTCTCAACTGCAAATTGACATATAAGTTCATGTCTTGAAGCTGAACGAAGATTGTTGAGAATTGCAGTTGGATGCTTGTTGACTTGGAAAAGTGTGCAAACTGCAAATCCAATCCAATTACTATTAGTGTACAGACTTGGAGGGAGTTCGATGGCTGTATAATTCTTTGTTGATTGTTGATTAAACAACTGGGGAATGTGTCGCCTAGGAATAACGAAGTCGAAAGTGGTTCCGAATCGATCCTGAAAAAGAGAAAATACTAACGAATGAGTTGATATATGAGAGAGAGGTAGATTGCACGAGAAAATATGATTTAATGCTATAAGAACAAGAGAGAATGTTCAACTATGTGTTCATGTTTAAGAGAGAGAGAGAGAGATTCTGCAAGAGAAAATAATCAGATAATGCATAGAAAGAGAGGCTGCAAGAGAAAATATTAACTCATGATTGAATGAATAAGAACAAGAGAGAATATGTTAACTAACGAGTTAATACATATAAGATTTAGAAAGAAAGAAAATAATCTGAATATGAGAAAAGTTTGTGCATAAGAACGAGAAAGAGAAAGATGGAAAAGAAAATGTTAGCCTAATGATTGAATCCATAAGAATTGCATAAGAAAGAGAGAAAGAATTAACTAAAATGCATAAGATTGAGAAATAAAGAGATTTTAAGCAAGAGAAAAGATTAACGAATGATTTCATGCATATTAACAAGAAAACATTAACCTAATGATTGAATGAATGCATAACAACGAGAGAGAACATCATTAACTCCGAGAATATTAACTAATGAGTTAATTCATAAGATTGAAAAAAAAAGAGACTAAAAAAAGAAAGATTAACGAATGAGTTCATGCATAAAAATGAAAGATAGAAACCTAATGATCTAATGCATATAATTGGGAGACCAAATATATTTTGGTTGAGAAACTTTTACGGAAAATACCGAAGTACTTATTGGTGAATACAACTTATTTTGTGTCCACCACCATTAAATTTTTTTACAAATAAAATAGATAAATGCAAAAATAGATAATTTTTTTAAATAATAAGTTATCAATTTTTCATTGGTGGTCAACATCGGTGCTCATTGTCATTATCTAATTCTTTTTCAAAGATTAAAGAATGAGTTAATTCATAAAAATAAGAAAGAGAGGCAACAAGAAAAGATAATAACTAATGGTCGAATACATAAGAACAAGAGAGAATATTAACTAATGAGCTAAAACATAAGATTGAGAAAGAGACTCTGCAAGAGGAAAAATTAATAAATGAGTTCATATGCATAAGAACAAAAAAGAGAGGTTGAAGATAACTTCATCCACTAAGTCATTCGAATAATTGTCAGATAGAAATCTCCTATCAACCATCATTATGTTTTTGTCAAGTAGGAGAGAAAGATAGAAAAGGGAAAAAAGAGATGTTCTTTTCATGTTTTCAAAAAAAAAATGAAAATTAAATGAATAGAGCTGTCAATAGTGGTCAAGGAAGACTCCTTAATGGACCGATCAGGAGGTAAGTATTATACATAATTTAATACATGAGAATGAGATAGAAAGTATTAACTAATGAGCTAATGCATTAGTTTGAGAAAGAACGAGACTCGAAAAGAAAAGGGATTAATGAATGTCTTGCATAAGAACAAGAAAGAGATGAGGATGTTGAAAGTATCTTTTGAATATGAGGGTTCATAATTGTGATGTATTTTCTACTTTAAAACTCTACAGAATCTTTTTTAAACAGCTATAAATTGAGGTACGTGTTTTTTTACCCAAGGCAATCAAGCTCCAATTGAGCAAAGTGTCAAAACACTTAATATATAGAAGAAGTTTGATCTCCATATTCCTTCTTCAGTCTAGGTATGTCTAGCCAACTTTCTTTTTTTGCCTCCAATATAGAAATGCAAACGAATAAAAACAAGAGGACATTAAATAATGAGTTAATGCATTAGAACGAGAAAGAGGTAGATATCGACCTTTAAATCCTTTTGAAGGAAAGAAGGAATGCTTTCCTTGAGTTGCAAAATGTGGTTCCCTCCCAAATTTTGAGCTGAATAATCTTGATCAGAATGACCATTAAGATTTTGTTCAGCCTCCCACTGTTCCAAACACAAATCTTGTCTTCTTTGTTCTTCCTTTTCCTTTGGATCATACTTATGAAAATGTATCATCCTCAACATAGCTTCAACATAAACTTGGTCATAAAATCCATGCAAATCCGGTGGACAACTCAGCACATTGTTTATAATCATCTGGATAAACCCTTCAAGATCTTGCTTATAAACTAGACGTGCACCACAAGCCACAGCTTTCAAGTCTGGGTTATTGGATAAAAATGAAACACAGAGATGCCTCCAATGATTTAATCTATACGGGTAAACAGCACGAGGCTCATAGAACAACCAAAGTTGGTGGTAATCATTGAACATCTCTTTGTTCAAGTAGAGTATTGATTCACGTTGCATTGTGTATTCATCATTTTCCACTTGATAAGAGAAGGAATGGGATTTTGTTGACTTCTCATCTACTGCAAATACTACAAAGAAGGCCAATCCCATCCATTTCTTGTCTTTGTGCAAATTTGGAGGTACCTTGATAGTGACTTTGGGCTTCTTTAGTTGAAGAGTGAACCAACTTCTTGAAATTTCTTTTTGGGGAAAAACAAAGTATTCGCCATAAAGCTTCAATTCCTGTGAAGAAATGGAGAGTAGTTAATTTGATGGAGACAAGTACTTGAAGGAAAATTTTTGGCAATGAAAGGAGTAACTCATTTCTATTATAAACTTTTGTAAAGGTCAATGTGTGACCCTTAAAATGCCTCTCAAGATCATGGTTCAGCCGGATTCCATTTTTTAACTGGATGCTCGTTTGAGCTTGTTGGACTCTGTAATACTATGTCAATATTCATACGTTTCCATTCTCAAAAATCAATTGGCAACAAGAGGAGTATAAATGTCTCTCTTTTCTTTTCAATGTGAGATCCTTAAAAATAATTACTACCCTTATCAAAACTAAGGCACAATGTGATGAAATTGAAAGTTTATGCATAAAAAATGATACTTGTACCATGTTTGAAGGTTAAAAAAATTTTTCCTACTTATATTTCTGAAAGAGAAAGATCAAGAAGTAGAGCACAGATAGAAACCTCAAAAGTTCTTAGAAGCACTGCCTTGAGGTTTCTTTTCAACATGATAATGGAGTCACTTTCATTTTCCTGAGCCTCAACAGATGCATTGGTACTAGTGGAACAATCCTCTATAACCTCAGGTGGTGGTCTACTCGGTCGAAGTCTTGGAAATGAGCCAATTGTCCTGAAACAATGCATTAATGTAAAGAGTTTTGTGAGTGAGGGAGAGAGATAGAAGAAATAGGACAAATAGTGTAATAATATAAAGGGAAATTATATTGCATTAGTGTAAAGAGTTTGAGAGACAATAAGAGAGGGAATGTACATGTACAGAGTTTGAGTAACTGGGAGATAGAGAAAGAGGGAGTACAAGGAAGATACTTGGCTCCAAAACAATGAGAAGCAACCTTGTCCTCCTTACTATTAAATGTTTGACAAGAGAAATGCAAAACCAGAAATTCTTTTTAAACAATAATGAGTTAGTTGTCAAATACTTAATGCAGACAATGCATTAATATGGCTATAACAGAGTTCTGTTAATACGTGGCTATAACAGAGTTCTATTATTCGTATTAACAGCCAGCTACTATATGGGGAATGTTTTTATGCGGTGCTAATTATTGAAAGGGTTTTAAAGGAGGAAGGCAGCCAAACAGACAGAGGGAGAGACACAGTGTGAGACATAGGGAGAAAGGCAGAGAGAGACAGAAAGAAATAGAGAAGAGACAGACAGACAAAGATTTGATTGAATTACCTTTGCAATGCATTTAACCAGCAAGTCTTGTAACGGGCTCCACCATCCAACAAACTAGAAACATCCACACGCTTCTGACGATTCAATATATGATCAACAATGGACGTATGGTATTTCCCAGGAGACCCAAAAAAACTCTTAATAATCCTCCCAATGAACTTCCCTGCGTTTTGTTCATACAGAATCGAGGCACCACACCACTTGACCTTCACCAATGGGTTATCAGTGATTATGGACACATCAATACAGCAACATTGGTTCAACCATTCTGAAATTTTTGTCATTGGAATGTAAAAAACCACCAGCCCATGTGGCGAATCCAGTTCATCTGTGTTGCCATCGATTACTAGGGCCGATTTTAGAGGGCATTCGTCTGTTTCCATCCGGATTATGAAATCACAAGAAAGTTTTGAATTATTGTTGTTGTTTTGGTGTTTCTGGACTTCAAATGCAGCGCCTAGAGCTATTCCGATTCTTGGGTTCTCTTCAGATGTGTAATCTGGAGAGCAGTGGGCCGTGATTGAGAATCCATACCTTTTGTCATCAAAGCATGCTATGAAGTTGGGATAGGGAATCACAAAATAATATTTCTCTTGTTGCCATGTAAGTACCTGCAAAACAATATTCAAAATGGTTACATTACGAATCGCGGGCTAGAAAAGGAACCAGCCCAGCCTCTTCAAGAAAGCTTTGCGTGGTAGGCGCTGGAGCATAACACTTTGATCAAACTAATGGAGATGTTGTCATTCACTTATATACTTATAGTCTTTCTTATTATCAAGCCAATGTAAAATTTTAGTCACATTCCTAACACTTATGTTTTAGAAGTTTTGGCTGATCAACTGCTACTACAGTTAGTCTCTATAATTTGATTAAACTTCACAAATCATCCCTTAACAATTTTTTACCAGCCTGCTCTCTCTCTTTACTTTTTTTACTACTCAGCTTTGTAATACAGTTAATAATCAACATTGATCAGCTAAACTGTTGAAAACACCACTATTGTCATGTAAATAAAATGTATATTCAAAATGGTAATGACTTATAATGGTAGACACCATTTTTTAGGTTAAAAGAACCAAATTCAGACTCTTAAAACTATAGTTTCAAACTTAAATTATTAAAACCATGCACAAGGACAAAATTAAAATTAAAACCATAGGAAGTAAGTTGAAACTTAAGAAATAATAGATATCAAATTAAAACTTAATCAAAAAGTGTACCATAAGAATCAATGGGCAATTTAACCAACAAAAATAATAAGAGAAAACAATTGACAAAGACGTCCTGGTATAAAAACAATGGACTAAGTAGACAAAATTGTCAAATCATATGGACTAAATTTAAAATTTTAAAATACTAAAAATTCCAATCGAAAATAAGCCCAAACCATAAAGAAACAAATTAGCAATTTCCAATTGACATAAAGTCAAGTATATAAAAACAAGGGACTAAATTGACAAAAGTAAAACTATACTCAAATCATACAAAGCAAAATTGAAACTTTTAAAACCACACCCAATCAAAATAAAGCTGATCAGCCCATAACAATTAAAATTGGCGACTCAACAAAAGAAAACTTGAAAACAATGGAGGACTAAGTCGAAAAAATTAAAACTTTTCAAATCACATACATTGATCCAAGTCGAAACTAAGCTCAAACCGCAACTTAACCCGAGAGAATTCATAAGATAACATAATTGACAAAGTACAAGTACAAAAACAAGCCAAAATATGGTATAATGCATAAATGGGTTTGCCCAAACAAGTCAAAAAGTTGTGGAGAAAAAAGAGACAAATTACCTCTAGGTATCGTTGAGCCATAGTCCTTAGGTGAATCGCAGAGAGGCCCAGCTGATCAACTTTGTAGCTTTCAGCTGGCTCAGTCGATATGGGACAACGAATAAAAGTCATCCCCATTTCACTCGAAGGAATATGTTTCTCTTGATTGTAATATTCCTTAAGTGAAACACAATCCCTCGCCTCCACATCTCTAACACTGAGTGGCAGCTTTGGCAATGACTGAAGATTACCACATTCCTCCAAAAAAAGATCCCTCAAATTAGTAAGCTGAGAAATGCTCTCAGGCAATATGGTAAAATGGTTTTGGCTCAGATGAAGAATTTCCAATGAACACAACCCACGAAGAAGATCATTAGGTATGTCCCCATCCCACAAATTGCAATCACTCAAATTCAAAACCCTTAAACAAGACCCAAAACTAAAGCAATTTGTCAGCTTCAAGCCTTGAGAAGATTGTGAGTAGTTCCTTGAGAAACCCAAACAAGGGAATAGTGAGTGGAGAAAATTACGAGACAGCCCTTGGCAATTTAGAATCTCAAGACTTGTCAAAAGTTGGAGAGAAAATGGGGCTTGGTTTATACAAGTACCAGTGAGATCAAGCTTCTCCAAGGAAGAAATATTTCCTAAGCTCTCTGGAATTCTATCAAGCTTTGAGCAGCCACGAAGTGAGAGAATTTTGAGGGATGTTAAGCAACCAATAGTGGTTGGAAGTTGGACGAGGTATTTGCAGTTTTTAAGATTTAATAGAACAAGTCCTGTTAAATGTCCTATTGATGGGTGTAATATTCTTATGGAAGTTCGATCTAGATGAAGCTCTGATAAATGGTTCATGTTTGCTGAAACCTTTGGAAAATTTTTGAGACTTGAACAGCCTGAGAGAACCAAAATGTTGAGGGATTCTAGGCTGAGGTTGAAGGGAATAGTTGTGAGTTGCTTGCAATCTTTGAGATCCAACTGGATTAGATGCTTTAGAGTGCCTAAAGATTGGTGTAGCTCCAACAATCTTACACAACCACTCAAAATCAATCTTTCAAGATTTGGAACCCCGGACAAATCTGGGGTCTTGGATAGGAATTGGGAGTCACTGAGATTTATCACTTTTAATTTATCTAAGCTCTGCA